TGAATCTGTGTCAAACATTTTCAGCTTTTGATAAAGAACGATTGCTACGTCTTGCCAAATTTTATCTCTCGGACTTTTCAGAAATGGATCTCATTATACTAGACAATCAAATTCAGAATTTCATTGTTGATATGAAATCGAATGATGCATTTATGAGTTTAAAAGGACTTGGAGAACTTGCTCAAAAAATGGTGGAGACTAGAAAGAATGACATTTATCCTTTAGTGTTCTTACTTATAAAGCTTGCTCTGACATTACCAATTGCTACAGCAACAGTTGAACGAGCATTTTCAGTAATGAATATTATAAATAATCATTTACACAATCGTATGGGGGACTCTTAGATGAATGACTGTTTACTTACTTATATTGAAAAGGATATATTTAATAGTATTGACAATAGCTTGATTGTGCAACGATTTCAAAAAATGAAGACTCGACGGGAGAAATTATAAATGATAGTTAAGAAGAATCTCAAGAATTATTGTTCTCAATTGTAAGTTTTTTTTTTTGTTTATCATATATTTTATCTTTTTTCTAATGTTTTATCTTTTTTCTAATGAATCAAATGATTAAAAAAAAAAATTAAAACCGCCCCGCCCATGCCGGTCCCAAGCCTGGATGAAAAAGGTTGAGGGTTTTTTTTACTTCAATGATTTGTGCCCCCACTTGAGAAAAATCCTGGCTCCGCCCCTGCATACAGGAGTACATTATGAAAATATCTTACAAAATTAAGAGCATTAAAGTTAGAATTATCTAATGACTTTCTTGTGTATCTTGTCTTGATCTCTATTCCTACACAATTCAATACTTTTAAGATAAGTTACAATACTCAAAAAAAAAAATAGTCTCTCAATGAGCTTATTGCTCAATGTGTGCAAGAGGAAGAAAGATTATAAAAAGAAAAGATAGAAAGTACTCAATTAGCTTCTTCTTCTCATGATTTTGTTATCAAAAAGAAAAGAAATTATAAAGTTAAATGAGCTACAAATAAAGAGACTTTACAACCTAAAGTGAAATAAAAGTAAGATCTAGTTATTACTTATTTATTCTACAAGAAGATTGGTCATATAAAGAAAGATTATTCAATATATGCTAACTAGCTCATAAAAAAAGGGTAAACTTCTAAATCTTATTTGTTCTAAAATTAATTTGGATAGATACATGTGCAACTACTCACATAAGTGTGACTATATAGGATTGTCTAAAGGGCAGAGTGCCAACTGATGCTGAAAATTTCATCTATATGGGAAATGATAATAAAGCTCGTATTAAAGCTGTAGACTTATATAGATTGTACTTAGAATCTTATTCCACTTTCAATTTATGTGAGACTTTTTATGTATTATCATTTAGATGGAATATAATTTCTATTTCATGTTTGGATAAATCTGTCATTTGAAAATGAAAAATTTAGCCTCTCTCAGTGTTAAAAAATTATTGGTCTAGATTCTTTGATTGATAATCTATATAAATTAAATATTTCTACCTCATAGATAAATAAAACTTTACATATAAATAATTTTGATATAAAAAAATTAACTAATGAGAATTCTTTTATGTTATAGCACAAGTATTTATGACATATTTCTAAACAAAAATTGAAAAACTTATGTTAGATGGAGTTTTTTATTCCCTTAATTATGCTGATTTTAAAATTTGTATTGAATGTATTAAGATAAAATAAACAAATATTAAGAAATTAGATATCAAATGGAGTTTAAATATCTTAGAATTAGTACATACTGATATTTATGGTCCATTCTTTATAGCTTATTGTAATGGTTAATAATATTTTATTACTTTTATAGATGATTATATATATAATGCAACAAAAAAATTTTAATCTTCTAATTCAAAACATCTAGTATGTATATTTAAAAAAAAAATTCATCTATGATTTAAAGCAAGCTTCCCGTCAATGATATAAGAAATTTGATCAATAGATTTATTTATTTGATTTTAATGAAAATATTGTTGATTTTAATGAAAATATTGTTGATCAATGCATTTATCATAAGGTTAGTGGGAGTAAGTTTATTTTATTGATGTTATATATCGATGATATTCTGCTAGCAAGTAGTGATATATGCTTATTGTATGAGACTAAGAGATTTTTTTTTCAAATAAATTTGAAATAAAAGATCTTAGAAATACATCATTTGTGTTGGGTATATAAATTCATTGGGATCACTCGTGTGGTATACTTGAGTTATCACAAATATATTATATTGATAAAGTGTTTAGCAGATTTGACATTAAAGATTATGTACTAGGGGATACACTAATTGTAAAAGGGGATAAATTTAATATGCTTCAATGACCAAGAAATGGAGTTGAAAAATAAGAGATGGATAAGATCCCTTATGAATCAGTAGTAAGGAGTCTTATATATGCTCAAATTTATACGCATCCGAATATTGCGCATATTATTGGAATGCTTGATAAATATTTACGTAACTCAGGAATGAATCTTTAGAAAGTACTAAAATATATATGTTATGAAGTATCAAAAAAGGATAAGAGATTTTATGCTCACATATCAGAGATCTGATCATTTAGAGATCGTGGGGTATTCTAATTCTGATTTTGCTGATTGTCTCAATAATATGAGATCCACTTCAGGCTATATTTTCATGTTATCCAGATGAGCTATTTCTTGAAAAAGTGTCAAGAAATCACTTATAGCTTCTTCAATAATGAAAACTGAATTTATAACTTTTTTATGAGGCTTCAAATCAAGAAATATGATTACGATGATTATGAAATTTTATCACAATGCTATATATTGTTGATGACATTGAGAGACTACTAAAGATAAATTGTGATAATAAAATAGCTGAGTTATATTTCAAGAACAATAGGAGCTCATCAAAATCAAAGCACATTGACATTAAGTTTCTTATTGTGAAAACAAAGTTTTTAGAGTTCTTAAATTTTTATTAAATATATTAGTACAAACTTTATGATTACATACCCACTTACAAAAGGAATAACACCTAAAGTATTTCGTGAGCTTGTGGCTCGTATGTGTGTAATTTATTTTGATGATATGCTAGCTTAGTGGAAGTTTGTTTGTACTGTTCAATTATTATGAACTTATTTTCTAATTAGATTAAAGTATTATTATTTTAGTGATTGAAAACTTTAAAATTAAGTTATTTAATTTTCAATTGCAATTTAGTATGAAGTATTGAATTTTGATTATAACTTTTTTGAGTTATAATATTAGACCAGTTGATAATAGTCACGATTTGAGATTGTATTGCATAAAATTTTTATGATACACATTCATACTTGATCTATATCGTTATTTATGTTAATATAGTGACCATTGATTATTCTTGTCACAAAAAATATGATAAATGTTTCTTTGATTATATATTGATATGATTGATGGATTAGATTGTCTAGAAATATTATTTTATAAAGATGACAAATATTAAGCTCTTATGGTTATTGTATAATGTATAATTATATGTATCTATATGTAGCCCAACTGGGAGATTATTGGAATTTTTTTGTATATGAGCCCATATATTTATACATATAAGTAAAGTATTATATATTATATCGTATAAAAAATTGAGAGAATTAAATTTATGATCTATTTAAGAATTATATTATTTTTGCTTATGTGGCATCTAAATTAAATTTGTATGGAAATAATTATTTGTGTAGAAGCCAAGTATTTATTTTATTTTTGATGATGAGTTGAAATAAAAATAAAGACACTTAAAATATAAAAGGGTAATGATCCCCAATTTAAGTGGTAAAATTCTCATTTCCCTCATTTCACATCTTGAGTGAAAATAAAAGGTCTCTCAAACTTTTGAAGAATGTCGCTTCAAATGTGAAAGATCAAAGACATTAATTCTGCATTTCAATGGATTCATGTACGCTTTAGATAATTCTTATCGATGATTTGACATGCTTTTCGGAGACGTCAAAATTATTTTTTTCGTCTCCTTTAAAATTTAACAAAAAAATACTGTGAAAGCATGAATTATTAGTATACAACAGCATATTATTTCCTATAAATTCATTGTCATCACATGGTTGGGTTACAATAATTAGGTGGTGAGGAAGAGCGATGGTGATCACTTGCATCTAACATTTGATAGAGCTCTTTCTAGCTCTATATTCAAGTCCAACTCCAAGCTCCTTCCTCTCCCTCATGGAAAACAAAAAGAAAAGATTATTTATAGGTTTTTTAAGTAACATTTCAATAATGTTAATCAACATATTGAAATACTTATTTCAGTGGTTACGTTATCATAAATCATTCTTTTATCATTTAAGTACTTCAATGATAACATAATTGAGTTTTATTGCCCTTGCTATATTTTTTCTCTTTTTAACTATAAAAACACAAAATTAAAAACATTTCATCTATCAAATAATGACATTAAGTTTCAACAATGCCTTAACAATTTAAGATGCGTTTGAGACGGCTTTCTTACTGCTTCTTAAAGCAAATTTTTAGTATAAAAATTTAATTTTTGTACTAGAAAGGTGCTTTAAAAAATATTAAAAAAAGTCATCCCAAACGAGGCTTTAATTTGACCTTATTAATTATTTTTTTAAATAGAATTAGAGTTAATTGTTTATTTTATTCATCCACTTATTGTTCTAATTTTTATATGGAAATAAATTACATTTTGATGTTATAATAAAAAACAATTATAATAAATTAAAAATTTTAGAATTTTTTTAAAGATTAAAGCATGTAAAATAAGCTAAAAGAGATTTTATACTATGACTATCATAAAAATTCACTAAAATAATTTTTCTACTGTGAAATAACAAAATTAATAAAATAATTAAAAAAATTTATTTACGCTCCCTCTAAAAATTTCTGGGTAAGCCTTTATCTTCTCATAGCAAAATCAAATTCTTCTCCTCAGTCTTTCTTAAATCAAATCTATACAAACAAAATTTTAACCCATCACATTTATATTTGATAATATAATTACGTGAGTACTGTTATCGATTATAATCTACTTACTAACACCTTCAGTTAGCCTCGCCAAAACGCCAACAATGGCCGACGTCGTCACCGTCGACGGCTCCGCCTGCTGAAAATTACTTCGGTCATCATTGTACCCATCATTTGCATCCGGTCCGCCCACGATCGCTCCATCAATCACATTCGGGTTCGGGTTCGGGCTATTAAACCATCTGCCAAACCCACCCTTACAGTCCACCGGCGTCGGGTCCTTCTTAATCGAGACAACCGAAGCGCCTCGATGGTGCACTTTGCCTGGCCAGGTCGGGCCGAACCCGACCATGTAACTCATGTTCTTTGGGTTGGCGCCGAGGATATAGTCGACTTGTTTGGATACGAAGGCGATGATTTCCGGCGGGGAGAGGACGCCGAAAGGGCATTGAAGGGTTGCTTTGGCGGCGGCGAGATGGTTGGAGTGGGCGGAGAGGAGGAGCAAGGCGGCGGTGGTGTACTGTAAATTGTTCCATGGTTGAAACCATAACAAGCCGCCGGGGCTTAGTTTAACGTTGTTATGGCCTTTTTGGAGGAGGGAGCAGAGGAATTGGTCTGCGGCGTCTTTGTATTGGCTCAAAGCGCCGTTGCTGCCATTTTTCTTTTCAAGAATGAGCTGTGAAGAATTGCAAATAGAGCGGAGGAAACATAAAAAATGTGATTAGTTTCATTACTCATATAATTATTTTTAAGCGTCGCACATTATAGATGAGAAGACAGGTAGGGAGTAGAACCTTGGCGACGAGAACTTGAGCGCCGGCGAACTTGTCGTCCCAGGAGAACATGGACCGAACGCCGCCGCTGTTGCTGGATTTGGCGAGGAAGTCGAGGTAGGTCTGGTTTCCGGTGGCACGGTGGAGCCACGCCGCCGCCCAGACAAGCTCATCCTGTATGAACGTAGGTGCATATCTGTAAATTATAATGGATGCGTGTAATCTACAAATCATGAATTGATAAAATTATTTTAAAAAATTGTCAAAATTTACGTCAAATCCGCTGCTAGAATAGAACTGGCCAGCAACGGGAACGCTGTTCTGATACAACCCTGGATGTCTCTTAGCAAAGTCGAATAGCTGCATGAAAAATAAGTAAAAATAAATAAATTAAATATCAAAATCATAAGCAATCAACCGACACACGAGATTAAAAAAATGTCCAAACAAATTTAATTACTTGTTCTGCATGGTATAGAAGATCGTTAGCGTATGCAGGATCGGACGGCCGAAAAGCAATGGAAGCAGCCGCTAAAGCGGCCGCCGTCTCTCCGGCGACGTCGGCACCGGGATGGGAAGCGTCGACCTTATAAGATGTACGAGGCGTGGTCATATCCTCCGGTCTTTGCCAGCAAGCGTGATCAGAATTGCCGTCGCCGACCTCAACGTAGAGCACGTCGGCGGCGGTGTGAGCATGCAGGAAGTAGTTGGTTCCCCAAGAGATGGCGGTGAGTGCGTTAATGAGTTCGCCGGCGGCCGCCAGCTGATTTCGGAACTCGACGACGCCCCAAGAGAGAGTGGTGATGGTGAAGGCCATTGGGAAGCCGAACTTAACATTGTCGCCTGAGTCGTAGTATCCACCCACCAAGTTCACCTAGATCAGGAAGACTCGTTTTTTTTAATAAACGAGTCGAATTTAAGTTCAAATTTCAGACCCATTTCATTATTGATTTGAGTCGCCTACCGAACTAAATTGACCCATATTGATTGTTGTGTTTATGTAGCATGAAATTTGACTTTATAATTAAGAATGATTATATGATATTGCACCATATATTAAATTTCTCTTGATTAAGATTTGTTATTGGCATCGTTGGAACGACTTGATTGATATTTTTATATAAACAAATTAGCAATGTATGTTCAAAAGGGTTGTCGGCAAATCGGATATGGACAAATCGGGTTCAGATCTAGAGTTTGACCCGACGGGGTTTAAATCAAATGGGTTCAATGTTGGTTAATTTGAGGTCAGACTCAAACCTGATCCGTTAAGCCATTTTAATACCCCTGTTTATCATTAATGGAGTGCTACCATTATATTATTATTAATAATATAATATATAATAAATATTCTATTATATTTAAAAAAATAATTTTGAAAACAAAGAAAAAAATGTCTTAATTATTAAAAAAAAACTTGAGCTTACACCGGCATCGCTTCCATCCCTGAGAGCAGAGTCACCTCGCCATCTTACTCGCTGGTCCTCTGGTAATTTTCCAGATCTCTGAGCCTCAAAATAGACTAGAGATTTAGTCAGGGCTTGCGTGTATTTACTCGCAGCCTCTCCATGTCCTACAACAGAAACCAAAAGCCAAAGAACTAAAATATAGCCACACAACTCCATCAATTTCAACTGTATAAACTTTATTTTCTATTTTCTACGCATTTATAGTGTAGTAAACAGTCATATTAGTGAAGTTAATTAATTACTTAACATTTTAAAATGATCACATTAAGAAGAATTTATGAATTTAATCATATCTGTTATTGCATGTTAATGAGATCAGTCGCATGGCTTCATCAAGTAAGTAAATAAAGGAGAATATATTTCTAATAGGAAATATTTTAGCCACATGTATTGTATTTCCTAAAATGGAATTGAATTATTATTTTTAATTATGAATAAATACTAATTATTTCTTGTTTAATTGAGTGATCTGATTCTTCGGAAATTTAGGGGTTGTTCCTCTAATTAGGGATCATATTAGTCATTAATTAAATGTTAAACCAAAGTGGTAAGTTGTCATCAATATTATCATCAAGTATTCAATTAGTATAATTAATGGCATAGTAAAAGTTTTTTTTTTTTATTTTTTTTATTTTTTTTTATTTTTAATGTAGGTTGAATTGTGGAAGGTTGAAATAGGTACTAGTCATGAAATTTTAATTTTAGTTATAATAATTTTTTTTATGTTCATTTTTAAAATCGGCTCAAATCATGTTAGGATAAGCCTGTTTGATGTTTGATTTTTGTTATGATTAGTGCAACATATAATATCAAATAGTGTACTAATTTTAGCGTAAATTGGATGACATTCAAGTCCATGTTGGTATGATTTGTGTGAGGATTACCGGTCTATTTTGAGAAAGAAAAAAAAAAACAAAAAAATAAAAGCATTTATTATAGAGGTGTCAAAATCGGCTTAACGGATTGGATTTGAATCCAACTTAAAATTAACCTAGCCTAAACCCGGTCAACTTGAACATGTCTTGTTTAATAAATGGGTTAAAAAATTGGATATGAACTTGACCTCCTAACAATCCAAATAGCTTTAACTAGACCCGATAATACATTTTGATTAAAAAACAATTTATAATTTGTTAACAAATGATTTTAGATTTATTGATAAAAAAAGAATATCATACTAAAAAAATTAAAAATAAATTAAGGAAAAAAATTAAATCAATCATTTTATGTGAAAATTGGGTTGGCAGGTCAACCCCAACCTGAACCCTACCCATTTAATGAATTGGTCAAAACTCCATACCCAAGCCAGACTTATTTATTAAATAGGTCAACCTAAACCTAGATTTTTGGGGTCGGCTTGATGGATTGGATTATTTATTGACATCCCCAATTCATTCGAATAAAAAAAAATCCAAGAATTTCTTCTTCGGCTAATTTATTCTGATTGTCAACAAATTTTGGGTGCCTGCCATATTTATGCTTTTTCATCGTAATTTTTCTTTTTCGCATAAATTAAGTTTTATGATAAAGGATTTCGTCTCCACCTCCAAATTTATTTCTGTCGCGTATTTTTATTTCTGTTTGATCACAAACTAAAAAAAAGAAAAAAAAAAAACTAAGGGCTTAATTTTAATTACCGTCAATCAGTAACTAATAGTTTAATTAATAATTGTATTACCAATGATTTAATTAATTATTTAAGTGTTATTTCATTAGTTTTAATTATTAATTATAATATTCACTTAAGTTCATTATATTAATTATTAATTATACTATTAGTTCTTTAATTAAGCTAAATTAGATTATTTAATTATACTACTAACTAGATCAACAACAACAACATTATAGTGCTAATTGTTTTATTGAACTAATTAATTATTAATATTTTAAATAATATTAATTAAGTTAAATCAGATTAATTTCTAATTTTTCTAATTTTAGATGGTAGGTTGTCTAGGTTTTGTTTTTTATCTTCTCCATTTCTTTGTTGCTACTTTACATGCTTTGCATGTAGTGTTATGAAAGAGTTGCTAAATCTTTGCCTCCTTCGACAACTTTGGATCGGAACTCATGACGGGAGCTCACTCGCTCAGAAGGGAATCATCTTTATCCCTTTCGAAGGTGGGTGGCCATCTTTGAATTTTAATTTAATTAAAAAGGAAGTAACTTATAAGGAATAAGTGAAGTACAAGTAAAACATAAAATTTTAGGGTTAAAATCTATACTTATTTTCAAACTTATTATTTAATTGCAATGTTATTTTCACAGAGATTTTAAGATGCATTATAAAATACTTGCTATTATAGGTTCACTTACATTTGGCCTTTCAAATTTTACCAAGGTTTGTATGAAAATTTGGAAGTTTCAAACATTTAATTTAGAATATTATTTGTACTTAATTGATTAGTACATATAAAATACAATGATTTTAATGCACATATCCTGATGCCTACTCATAACTCTACTTTTATTTATACATTCCTTTAACCTCTCGCACCTTTTTTTTAAGAATAATTTATTTCTTTAAAAAGATGAAGGTACAAGCAAGTCCAAAAGAGGATTAAGCATCACAAGCTACAAGAAAACAACCTTTAGGAAACAATCAATCATAAAAGAAAACTCAAAGAATACGAGCTCAATTAGTGGCAAAAATCTGTGACCACCGAAACGGTAGGCAAGGGTCATCCAATAGAAGCAAGCATCATGCTACAACGAAGAAGCCCAAAAATGGACAAACATAATGACATCCCACAAGAAGATCTCCAAGAAGATGCCATTAGTGGTTGCCAACTAGCCTAGCCGATCAGATGGGGAGCATAATCCCCTCATCACTGCCCAGGTTAAAAACCTCACCACCAGCTTCCAAACCAATGAAAGCCTTCCACAACCCCAAAGCCGAAAAGCTAGACAACCAAAAAAAGGCATCCAAAACCTCCATCCAAACACTTGTAACATCAGTAGCACCCAGACAGAAGCAAAAAAGCCACACTATTATTTGGATTTCCTACGATGACGCTTGCCCCCACCCAAGGAACAAGCTTTTTCCATAATATGACCCGCTTGCAAACTATAAAATTCATACAAATTGTCAGTCGGGTCAGCCAAACCTCCCTCCTCCTCTTCCCCACTAAAAGTGGAAACCCCTAAACAATCAGAATGATCTACAGATAAATCTTACAACTTGCTAGCCAAATGGGTATGCATTGCATAATTGGAAATTAGAGAAACTGACGCATCAACAAAATGAGCAGGTGTAAGCGCCCCCACAGGTGAATCCAAATCAATTACATGAGAACTTTCAGCTGTAACACCCAACTTAGAGGATCCAACATCAATCACCTGATTAACTTCACACTAACTGTCTAACTCTTCCACCCGATTATCACCAGAAACAAAACCAAAATGTGAATTCTCAATAATAGTAGGAGAAACAATTATTGAATAACCCACATGCACAATAACCCCCTCCAGAATACCGCGGGCTCATTTACATTACAAACATCCAAATTCTCTGACACAAGTGTATCAGCTTCCGAGGTTACAAGAACAACGGAAGACCCACCATCAAAAGCAGCCAATGAAGGCCCCACAAAACCAACAACAATGGAATGAACAACAACCCCAGCTGCCTCTACCCTAAGATCAAAGACCACCCAATTAACAGCACTAATGAGAACCTCTTTAGAAGATGCAACATGACACTTAGAAGAAACAACATCAACATTTCCATCAATAATAATATTTTCCACAACACCAGTTTCATTCCTAACCTTCTTAAGAGGAATATTAGAAAATCAAGACCAATCACTGGGACAGACGACAAGGAACGACACTCCCCCTCATATGCCCTAGAGCTTTACATTGATTACAAAAGGGAGGGAAAGCCTCTATCTCAATAATTTGGATGTATCCAAACTTATGAGGACTGAGCCACATTTTTTCGGATACTTTTTAGCGATGTCACATTCTACAAGGACACGCATAATAGAAGGCCGAGAGCTAACGGAGGTGGCGTATTCAACTTTTAACGGGCGGCCAAACAACGAGCCCAAGGCATGCAAAATTCAGGGAGAGAATAGATGAAGCTGTAAGTTAGGGAATGAAATCTAAATGGGAATAACAGAGGATTCAACACCAATATCAAGGTAGGGAGACCATTTGGATAATTTCATGTAACACTTATAAACAAGATACGATCTATGGAAAAAAAAAAAAACTCTGCTATAATCCAGGTCACTCAATAATTTTATCAGCACATGAGAGGAGTCAAGCAAGGTAACTAAGAAATCAGCAGTAAGCTTAAGGTTGAAAAAAAACCTACGGATGGAATCCAAGCTAGGGCGACAGGAAGGGAAAAAATCAATTAAGACATACTGGAAGGGTGCCACAAGTGAAATGATCTCCTCTTCAGAGATCCACATAGCTGGTAACCCCCTAAAGGTAGTCATTTTGATCTCCAGAAAACAAACATCAGAGATATAACTAGATAAAACATCCAAAAAAGAACACGACTTCTTGGATCCATAAAAAAAACCAGGATCCAAGACCCGATTCGCCGTCTTACATGCCACTAATGGCCGAAGGGGATGAAATAAACAACAACTAAAAAGGTACAAAAAATCAAAAGAAAAGAAGGAAAACTTTCCTTAATACAGAGAGATGAAAATGGCGGAGCGATGCCAGAGAAAATTTGTCGGGATAAGCCTAACGGAGCGGAACGAGAGATGCCCTAGCTCCGTAGGAGAGCGTCACACACCTAATTATAGTAACTGGGGCCAAAGTGAGAATAGAATAGTGCCACATAACCCCACACACCTACTTTTAGTAAGTTTGACAAAAATCCCTCTTATATTCACCAAAGAAGATGTGGCCAGAACATGGCATATATGATTCTTATAACATATCAAAGAGTGCAGTTTTTGACATATAAAAACTTCTTCAACGCCATGCTATGAATAATACATTTGCAAATGCAACAATAATAAAATTATAAATCCAATGTAGTGCTCAAAGAATGCATGAACTACTAGTGAAAGTCAATTTGCTTGTATAATATTATGTCCACTAAACGTTTCCCTTTGAGTTTTAAATTTCGGAGGGATATTCATAAGAACATTTTAAGACTTCTATATAAATACTATAATTTTTAGAAAAGC